TTTTTCAATTATTTTCATTTCATCTGGTGCTTGTTCCTGCTAATCATTTGTTGTTGTTCGATATTTTAAATATTCTAAATAACGTGGTAATGGTAAATCAATAATACCTAACATTTGTAATGATCGAATCGAATCAGGAGCATAGGCAACTAAAAATGATCAAGATATTTACCAAAACGAAGACGATTAAATAATGTGATCACTTATGCATACCAACGGTAGCAAACATCAAAACAGTTTAATAAAATAAAAAAAGAATCATCTTCTGCACAGCAAAAGTCCAATGTTTTGATTCCAGTTACACCAGCAGAACCTAATACTACCACTTAACGTTTGTATACCACCAGTAACAGTTGTTGTTTGTTTATCATCTTTAACTAATTCTAATATTGAACGATTCATTGATTGATCGATTTATTGATTCACCTCTCAATGCATCACTATGATTATATTCCAATGCAATTAATAAACGAAATAATGCGTCTGATTGTATTTTATTTGTTTCGGTTATATCAGCTTGTTCATAAAAATCCAATTGTACAGCACAATCTCTTTTGCATTTACGCGGTTAATATTTTTCAATCAATGAAACTTCATCTTGTGCCTCTATCAAGGATTGTGTAAAAGAATCAGAAAGGATGAATAATCTATTCTCCTCCAGCATTCAATGAATAAGCTTCGAGGATAATCGAGAGGAGAGCTCTTTTTTTGTAGGGTAATTATGTTGGGTTAGAAAAGCCGGCTTCGTAGAACTGTACTAAGGATAGTTGAAGTTAAAAAATGGAATACTGATTTTTGTAAATAACTTATCATAACAGAAATTTCAAACATAGTTACACTGTAGCCTGCTATAGAGAGAAATAGAGTATATAAGGTACGTCAGTATCGTAAACGGCCATTTGTAGTTAGAGTACTCCATGGCGTAGAGCTCAATGAATGCTTGCTCAAGAATGAACTTCTAACCAATTGGTCGTGTCCTTTTCTTGAATATTTCCCTCGGTGATA